CAAGTTTCTAGCTACAACTAAGAGTAGAAACTATTATTTCCAACTGCCTTTGGTGGGTGACATTGCACAGGTCGAATCAACTTTTGTCTTAAAATGTGACTTAGGTTTAATGCCAGTTTCAAGTGATGGTAGAATCTGAATTGATCCAGAAATATTGGTTATAGAAGTCTATAAAGAAATTCAGACTGCAAGTCACCATTAGGAGAGGAAGTGCAATAGGGCTGTTCAAACTGCCCAGAAAGTCTTTCATCAGTTCCAATAAATGTAGTTTTACTAATTTCAATTTTGTATTTTTTTATTCAAAAATTGTGTTTTAAGGCTCTACAATAAGCATTTGTTTTAAAAATTGGCCACTGATTCTTTTGTATAACAAGTTTCAAAGTTTTGATGTTGTCAGTCCTTTTTAGGAAGGTCAAAAATTGTATAAATTTACAAAGTTTTCAAAAAATCAAATATTTGAGAAAAGGTTTTAATATTATAAACAAAATAACTTTTGAATTCCTCATCCCAAAATGAGTAAAGTTTCAGGCTTGTACCTCCATCAGATACATTTTTACAGCAAGTTCAAAAAGTTGTATTTTTTACCCTTTTTTGCCCTATCATATTTTGCTTCTGCCTGTGAAATAAGAGCTGATCTACTGATGTACTCCAGTGAAAATAAATTTAACCTAATCTCTAACATACTATTGAAACCATAAGAAGTTTCAATGACTTAACTATAGAATTGAAATTTATATTGTGATGCCATTCATAGTGAAATTGGGATACGTTTTGTGATTGCATTCTTCGATTTTCCGTTGTTCACTACACCTGTGATGACATCCAAGGTTGAGTGTATTTCCATATACACCCAACATGCTATGTGCACAGGTTTGTCTTCTCAGCCATGATTGCTTTCAACAACTAATACTAGTGACAACAAATGATTTTAAAGACACTGGTTGAGAGTTCATTTAGCTGGCTATCTTTCCTTTTGGCTGAAATGCTATCTCCCTATGTGCTCGGTAACTCCTGATTTCCTATTACCAGTCCTTCTGTCACTGGCCAATGGGCAGCTCCCACTCCTCTGGTCACCTCTCATGGCTGGACCCACTTTTCCCAATTCAAAGGCAGCTGTAGACATAAATCCCCAAAAACTCTGAAAACTAAGTTGACTCGAAGATGGACTGGAGACAAAATTCCTATGAAACTCCAATAGCTGAGTGGACTTAAAAGGAAGGAGAATTTATCTCCTTATTGTCTAAAGATGTGTGAGAAATCATATTGTTACAATATTGAATGATCAAATTTGCCTTTCTGTGTTATTTTTGCACTGTTTTTAGGACCAAACATGATGTTCCCTCCTGTTTAAGCTGGTCTTATCTAATAATTATTAATTCCTTTAGTATTATCTTAATGACATTGCAATTATAATGATTTTTCACTTGTGGGAAGCCTGCATCTTCACAAATACACAGTTGTGCTTCTGGCCCAATTGTACTCATGACAGATGACACAAAATCCAACAAATTTCGAATGGTCATAAGTCAGTTGCTAATTGAGTTAGCAAGATAAATTTGGTAATTTAAAAAAAAAAAAAATTTTGTCAAACTCTATATGCTTACATAAAAAGCTTTTTAGATATATTGAATAAAAAAAATAGTTTGGGATACCTAATTTTATTGGGAAAAACTTGACTTGAATAATATGATCTGATATAGTTTATAAACAATGCTGAAGATAGTTAAATTTTAGTTCTAATTTCCAAATAGTTAAATTCAGTGATAATGTTTTTAATTAACATACACTGCTTCTCAAAGTTTGTTTCTGGGTATAAAAGTTTTAATATTTTTATGTAGGTTAATTTTTATGGCTCTAAGGAATATGTCCCTTTCATTTTGATTTAATTTTATTTATTTATTGTAATATAGATTGAGCATTTTTCATTTGTGTTTTGCTTTTCTAATTTTGTATCCTCATGTACACTCAATTCTCATTTTGCAGTTTTGAAATAACAGTCCAACAAAAATAATTGATTATTTTTTTATTTTTAGTTATTTATTTTTATAGTTTTAGTTACTTAGTTTTAGTTACTTAGTTTTAGTTACTTAGTTTTAGTTACTTTTATTTTTTTTTAACACAGTTTAAACATCTGTCCTTGTGTGACCATCAAATTTATTGCAAGTGGCAGGAAATGATTAAGTAAATGCCAAAGTTCTACGTAACAATTTAAGAAAGTAAAATAGAATCCAATCTATTTTTTCATATAGTGATCCCCCCCACTCCAGTGTGGGTGGGGCCTATGCACTGTGTAACTGCTCCATCAGATGGTGTGCTGCAGCTGTTGTTCGTATTGGGTCTAATATGAAAGATGTGTCATATGTTTCATCCTTTGCTATATTTTTTATTTGTGATGTGATATTGATAACCTACTCTAAAATGTTGGTTGATACATCTAAGAAAAATAAAAGAGCATCAATATCTTTGGAGACCAAGATCAATATTTTGGATTGTCTTTGTAAGGGTGAAAGTGCAGCATCCTTGGGTAGAGCTTTCTGCCTGAATGAAGCTACGATAAGAACAATCAAAAGGAATAATGCTGCCATTAGAAAATCTGTAGCTCCTGGAACAAAATTATCTGCCAAGTTGTTGTCATATAATACAAGAGACATGATTCAAGAACAAAATGGATGTTTTAATAATATGGATAGAAGAAAACAATCAAAAAAGGATACCAGTAGATGGTAAAACCATAAATCAGATGGCATTATGATTTTACAAGAAGTTTAATGATCTGGAGTCATCAAATGTGTTACATCTGTCTAGTGATAAAAAGAAAAATGAATTTGCAAGTACAGGTTGGCTTACAAAATTCCTCTAAAGAAATGCACTGCATAATATAAAAATGAAGTGAAATTTCATTAGCAGATAAGAGTACTGCTGAAGAATTTCTTCCAAAACTCACCAAAATAATTGAAGAAAGCAATTACATTTCAGACCAAGTTTTGAATGCAGATAAAAATGATCTCTTTTGGAAAACATGTATAACAAAATCAGAAAAGTACCAGTGGTTTTAAGGCAGCTAAAGACTCTAACTTGTTATATAGCAATTCTTCAGGAGATTGTTAAAACTGTTATTAATCAATCAGTTTGTCCATGTGCAATGAAAGGTGCAAACTTAAGTAAATTACCAGTTCATTGGAGAGTCAATAAAACATCATAGAGTACAGCAGAAATATTTACTGAATGGTTTAACAACTGCTTTGTTCCTGAAGTGAGAAGATATATGGAAGATAAAGGTCTTGAGTTCTTGAGGTTCTTTTGCTTATAGACAATGTACACAGTAATTAAGATTTGGAACACCTGATACATTCTGACCACCTAATACAATATCACTGATTCAACCGCTTAATCAGAGTATAATTTCAACATTCAAATCATTATATATTACAAACATTTGAATATATTATAGATGAACTAGAAAAAGTTAGTACACTTTCAATTATTCAAGCATAGAAAAAATTTACTATAATTAACTGTTAAATATGCTGCCCTGGTTTTATCCAAATTAAAGCCATCCACCCTAAATGCATGCTGAAGATCACTTTGACCAGTGTGAAAAGCCTAAAAATCTTATTTAATATTTAATATAAATACAAACAAATTACATTCTAATATCATCACTTGTTACATCAGATTGGCAGTGAAGGTTTTGAAGATATTGCAGAATTAATTGGCAAAGCTCCTATTGGAGAACAAATTATAGAGTATTTCAGAGAATGTATAAGATTCCACGTTAGTTTATAGTAGTAATGAAGTGATGGTTCCACTATCTGCAAGTACAATTCTAGAAGGCCGCCAAATAACCAATAAACTTGGAAATCATTTTCTTACATTTTCTTTCTAGCTGTGCAATTCCAATGTGATTTGAAAATGATTATAGCATATTATGAAGAATCATAAAGAACTAAGAAAATCACAGCATCTGATAAATGAATTTGTATTCAAAACCAGTGAAACAAAAACATAATGGTAATATTATTCAAGATACACAAGATATATTGCCATTAAATATTTCCAGTCATGGGAGTGAATTTTGTGCCACTGAAAAACAACAAAGTGGGCCTGTTTACTGTCTTGTAGTGACACTGAATAAATGAATGATTATGTTATGTGTATGTGTGTATAAGTAAGAAAAATTAATTTATTTGGATATGAAAATTAGCATTTTTTTTTTTTTTTTGTTTTTAAATATATTTGGATGGAACCCATCTCTAATTTTCATATATACAGTGTGTGTGTGTTATATTGTATGATAAAAATTTCACATGATAATCATCCCATGGTTGATTGGTCCAGTTATTCAAGATAGTTTTTCTACTTTGTTGATGATGACAGTTTTATATAAGAATACTTTGTTTGTTTATTTTATTTATTTATTTATATTTTTTTTTTTTTGCCAATTATTTTTTTTACTAATATTATCATCAAAGGATAACCATCTGAGAAGTATCTGATCAATGCTGAAATTCTGTTTTCTATTCAAATAAGATATCTTTAATATCATATTTATATTCATGTTTTAAAATAATTCTTCTTTCTTAGCTTTAATTTCAATGAAATGTTTGCAATTTTCATTTACCCTATTGGTTTTAATATATTAATAAAAACAATTTCCAACAGATTTTTTTTATCTTTTCAGAATTGAGCTGCATTGATCATGTGCCGAATTAAAGTGCTTTTCAGGCCATTTTAAAAAATATAAGCTAAGAGTTGCAGTCCATTGTCTTTCGGACTAACTGACTCCTCCCCACTTACCCTAGAAATCCTCAACTTTCGTGATCAGCTGCATATTTGATATGGCCAGTGGTACCAAGAGCCACAATCCTCATGGACTCCGACAGATTGGTTTGGATCAAATATGGGATGACCTTAAAGAAGGCATTGAACAGATTTACCGAAGAGAAAACATGGCTAAAAGTCGTTATATTCAACTCTACACGTATCCTTTAGTACTATTTATGTTTAAGAATTTTCCTTTTTTATCCTATAGGTAAATTGTCAATTTACTCCCCAAAAAAAAAAAAAAAAAAAAAACAATATGGCCAATTTTTATAAAAAACCTTTTAAATTCTTCAGGAATTTATCTAGTTAATAATGTAAAAACTTTTAGATGTTAAATCTCAAAGATTTAAAACAATTTTTTAATTTTCACTAGAACTTAATTAAAATATAAGACCCTGTTTTAATTTTCAACTGAAAATGGAATTCTTGTCTCTGTAAAGAGAACTTTTTTTTATATTATAACATTCTACTTAGTTTCTCAGTTATTATATTTTAGTTTAGTTGTTGGATAATAAATTCAACTCAAAGTAACCAAGAAATTAAGATTTGTGTTGCTGTGAATGTATAGCTCTATTCAATCTTGTAGATATAAAAGTTAACTTTATTTTTATGTCCAAAATGGTGCAAATTGAATACATGCTTTGCAATTTTTTAAGCATTGATTATTGTAAAATATTTTGGTACTCATTCAATTAATCCTGTTATACTATAAATTGTGCTTGTAATATCTCCTTTTATATGTACTTTCCTGTATTTGTAACAATTCTGTTTTTGTTTTTCAAATATGAATTGAATGTACAAGTTCATAACTTACTTAGTGCCAGTATGCCCTGAAACAATTTGTTCTGTAAAAAAATTTAATTATAACTCTGTTGTTTATCCTTTATGCCAATTCCAGTCATGTCTATAATTACTGCACAAGTGTGCATGTCTCCACTAGTCAGGGACAGCAACCAAGAACACCAACAGGCAAAAAAGTGAAACAACCTACTGGAGGGGCACATTTTGTCGGATTGGAACTTTACAAAAGGTTAAAAGAATATCTTAAGAGCTATTTAGTAAAGTTATTAAAGGTAGGTCATGCTTTCATTTTTTTTTTTCTTGTTTTTAAATTTCAGATTATAAATGAAAAATTTTTTTTTTTTTTTTTTTTTCAAAATAATCCTTTCACTCTGGCAAGTTATTGCTGCTCTCTATATTAAAATAAAGTTAATCTTTGTGAACATTAATGAAAATTAATTCTCTAAATAATTTACTTGTGTATAAAGTCAGCAAACAATTATAATTGGATTAAATTTGTCATCACTGCTGCTGATGTATTTCTTTTAGCTGGTGAGGTTGGTGGGGAGTTTTCTTTTAAATATCTGGTATTGATTAATTTCAAAATTTTAAAGCATTTTACTTGCTACAACTGACCTTTTTTTTTTTTTTTTTTTTTTTTTTTTTTTTTTTTTCTTTTTTTTATATAAAGGGGTCTTCCCAAACCTTTTGAATTCAGACTCTCTCCCCTAATATTTTGGAAAATTAATTTGTCTTTCTTTGCTCCAGTAAAATCAACCATTGTCAGTTTTTGCTATAAACTGCCAGACATACCCAAATTCCCTACATTAGAAAACTATCTGCAATATTTTTTTCAGTGGAAACACCACACGTGATACAATTTTCTGTTTTAAGAGTTAAACTATGTATTTATTGTTTCAGGGGAACTAAATTGTATAGTTTATTTTTCATCTGTGAAATGGATGACCTTGAATAAAAGGAAATTACTCTCATATATTTAACAAGTGTTTTTTTTTTTCGTTTTTTTTTTTTTTTTTTTTTTTTATATATATATATTTCAGTTAAGGATCAGCTGATTCTTTTTTTATTAAAAAATAAAATCAACATCAAAAGCAATGTATGCTAAAAAAAAAAATTTTTTTTCCTTAGATAACCTTAGATAACCTTTTCCAATCTTCTTTATCATCATTCTTTTGTTTCTTTTATCTTGTCTTCTTGAGTAAGAAATGCATGTCCTTTTGAAAACATGGAGTATTTATATTTTCATAAGCAGTCCTGACAAAACCTTGGACAAATAACAATTTCTAATTTTCAGATAATTATAAACACACAATTTGCCTACTATTTTTGGCTTTGTTCTTATTTAACATATGTAAAACATATGTATAGACCCCCCCCCCCCCGACTCTCTGTGATTGGCAAGAAAAAACAGCTAGCATGTGTTTATTTTTAAAATTTTCTCTTCTTTACATTTGTTTCATCAAAATCCTTTTCTTCTGAACAAGTTAATAAATCATTTCATCCCAAGTAAAGTAATAAGTCACTAATATACTAAGTGAAAGTAAAGGAATTTGTGAAAATCATTGAGGAGAAAAGAACAAAAAAAAACAAACCAGGATTCAAGAAGACAGATGATGGCTATTTGCATTACACTTAAATTTTTGAAGATCATAGTTGATAGGAAAGAAAATATTTATAGAAAAGGCCCAGGGAAGCTGTTACACTGGTGGGAAAGTGACTAAAGCTGAGATGCCAGGTCAGGACCAATAACATTGCAGATTCTTTTTTTTTTTCTTTTTTTTCTTTTCTTTTTTTTTTGTCAAGAATCTCTAGACACATAGTGTCAGACCAGATGCGCCTAGAATGACACCAGGAACCAACTTTCCTAACACCAGATTGATCTGATATAGTCATTCCACTTCATGTCAGTAGAAAATGTTTGATCAAGAAGGTTCAATGAGTTACTCAGCCATGATGATGGAAGTCAATTAAGGTTCTTTTAGATGATTAAAAGAGAGCAGTTTTGTTTTGGAGGTGTTAAAATTAACAAGCTTGCCCCCATTTAACCACAGATTGAAGGTCATTTTTGTGATCAATTGCCAATTTAACTATATTAAGCCTATCAGGCTTAACATACATTAAGACAGGAGTAAATAGTTGTGCTGTCAACATAGACCCGGAGTTGAGAACTGATGACATCAGTAAGGTTGTTGATGAAAATTAGGAACAAAGTGGGCTCAATAGGCCTGGGTTGTGTGTGTGTGTGTATGTGTATATATATATATATATTTATTGCCCTTTTCTTCTGGGTGATGCTGAAATATGCATTTGCAGACACAGAGAGTGGCGTCAAGTTTCAGTTTCGAACAACTGGTGGTCTCTTCAATCATCAGCGCTTCAAAGCCAAGACCCACCTTCGTACGCATATTATTTGTGATTTGTTGTTTGCTGATAATGCGGCTCTTGTAGCGACATCCTTTGAGGAGGCCCAACGTCTAATAAATCGTTTCTCTGCTGCATGTAAAGAATTTGGTTTTACACTTAGCATAAAGAAAACTGAAGTTGTGCACCAACCTTGTCCTACTTGAAGCAATTGCGTGGTGAGAAACAAAAACCACCAGTCTACAAATTTCCAGAGAGACCATTGAAATTAGAAGACAAACCCCTGAACTATGTAAAGTCTTTCACTTATCTTGGTAGCAAAGTCAATTACAGTGGAACTTTAGATGATGAAATCATGCATCGGATTGCTAAGGTTACAAATGCTTTCGGCAAACTTCGCCATAACTTGTGGAATGAGCAGGGTATTTGACTGGATATGAAAATCCGGGTTTACAGAACTGTTGTATTTGCCATACTTTCAGAGGTACCATATATGCCAGCTAGATGTTTTCCGTAAAAGCTGTCTGCATGCAATCTGTGGAGTTAAGCGCTTCAAGATAGGACATCTAACATAGACCTGTTTAACAGGTGTAATATTGGAGGAATCGAGACTTTTACCATACAGTCTCAGTTACGGTGGACTGGTCATGTCTTGAGAATGTCTGATTACAGGATACCCAAGATCCTAATGTACAGCCAGTTAGATCAGGGCTACAGGAATGTAGGACGCCCATGGCTAAGATATAAAGACAAGCTGAAAAGCAACTTGTCAGCAGTCAACATACCACATAACACCCTTGAGTGCTTAGCCTTGAAGCGGGTAGAATGGAGATCAGCGTGTTTTAGTGGACTCAGCAATTTTCAACCTGCTTGTCTGAATCATCTTCAAGAAGCGAGAGCAAGATCTAAAAGGTCAGCCAATCTAACAGTGATATCTCACAATCCTCACATTTGCTCCATATGTGGCCTCCTTTGTAAATCACTAGCGGGTCTTAAATGCCACTTAAGATTATCGCACAAACTTTCATAACTGAATCAATAAGCTGTCAGATCCTCATACGTCGAAACCGACGGGAGAGTCCATTATTATTATTATATATAGTGGATATAGATAATTGAAAGAAAAAATGAATCTGTTTGAATATTGTCTTCAATGGTTTCTTAGCTTGTGAAGTGAATAAAGGGATGTAACTTGAAAGGACTTTCAAGTGTAGAAAAATAGGCATTACTTTGTAATATATAACTTAAATAATTCAGTCATTTTATTATTAAAATGATAAATGTGTATTTCTTTTAAACTCTTAGTTTATTCACAAAAAATATTAAAACTGTTGGTTTTGGAATATGTTTTTAAATTTACCTAATATATTCATTTAAAGGCTTAAGTCTATTGGGTTTTTTGTTTTTTCCTAATCTGTGAATCGTAATAGATTTATTTTTCTCTTTTTTTATTTAAATATTACACAAAGCTTTATTGAATTTTGTTTATATATCTTCAAAGTATAAAACACAAATGCACTATTTTTTAGCATATAGAAAATATGAATTAGCAGTGTAAGAATATAGCTACCATTTACTAAATAACTATTCATGAAAACTGGTTAGTTTTATACATTCACTTTTTATTTCAGGATAGCAAGGATCTGCTTGATGAAAATGTACTCAAATTTTATACGAAACAATGGGAAGACTATCAGTTCTCTAGCAAAGTTTTAAATGGTGTGTGTGCTTATCTAAACAGACACTGGGTTCGCAGAGAGTGTGATGAAGGAACTAAAGGAATTTATGAAATTTACTCGGTAAGTAACATATCCCTTTTCAATTTTCAATGGCCACATATATAATAATTAAAATCCTTAATCATTTCATTGTAAGAAAAAAAACAAAAAAAACAAAACAGTTAATTTATGAATAATTGAGCCACTTAAAAAATAGAATGTAATAAGATTATAACAGGTCTATTTACAATATTTGAAGCATTGTGAATAAACAAAGTATTTTCTCTTTATGACATCCAAAATAATTAGGGTTAATAATATTAAACTAGTTATGGAAAAAGTAATATTAAAATGTACTTTACAAATTGTATAGGTGAAATGTTATAAATAAGCATTTTAATAAAAATGTTTCATCTTTTATATTTTCCTCTTTGGATTAAAAGATTCTCTAATAAACACCAAATAATTTAATTCAATTTACAGTGCTTTAACATTTCTCTGACTTGGACTGTTGGTTCTTTACCAAGCTTCCCACCATTTAGGAAATCTCCCAGTTGTCACTCTGTCACTTCGGCAAATTCTGACATGATTTGTTCGAGTGCTACACTGGTAATATCAGAAGTGTCCTCTGATATTTCATAAATTGACTCTGTAAGAGAAGATATCACATTAAATCCTTTGAAAATAGTGTTATCCTCATGCTTCATCAAAGGAGAACCATCCACAGCCCCTAACTTAAAATTGCAATGCATCTTTTGAATATACAAATACTGATCCACATATTTGGATATTTGAATTTTCCAAAAAGGACCACAAACTTTCACAAAAATCAATTCCAGGGCTCTCACAAGTTTGTCACATTTGGCATCAAAAAATACACTTTCAACCTTTATATTTTTTTCCCTTGCCACTCGCTCAAAAAAAATAATGGATATGTCGTCTGTGATGAAGTAAAGCAGTAGTACCTTCAAAGAAATTGTTAAACCTATTCATTCTAAAGCTAGTAATATAGGATTTAATTGCTGCACTGTCAGAAATTTTTTGTAAATAAATTTCCTTTTTTCTTATGGATCTAACCTTTTTGGGAGAAATTTCAAGTCGTGCTGCATTCGACCAATAGCACTGTCTTTTTTATTTAGTTCCTCATTTGCACGGTTTCTTTTGGCCTGGATTTTTTCCATCTGAAACTTTTGTTCATGGCATACTTTGGACATTACTTTAAGTTTTTCTGAAATAACTCGTTTCATTTGATTCATCAAGCTGTTTTTGTGTTCTTTTGTTTTCAGTTTTAACATCTTTTAACTCTTTCTCCAGTTTTTTGATTGTTTCATTATTAGAATGAGTCGATACATTTGCATCAACATGCATACCAGGCTGTTTAGGATCTGTGAAGAATGAACAACACATAAGTCTTCAACTCCTGTTATTTTCTTATTCTTTTTCAGTGTTTTATACTTTGTGTTGATTCTCCTAACATTTTTCACAAAATAATCTTCACTGACACCAGGGCATAAAACATTAATTACATTGTATAACTTTGCTGGCATAGCCAGTTTATATAGTTCAAGTATGAGCCCACTTGTTACTTCTGCACACAAAAGTTTACAACCCAGCATTGGATCCGACAAAACACTGAGAGTCAATCCAACGCTCTCACATCTTTCACTTATGAATCCCAAACTTGTTACCTCATGGTACAATGCAGGACGATCCGCTTTTGGAGAACTCTGAACTTCTGCTCCAACTTTCTCAATAAGGTGTACCCATCTGTTAGGAAAGATTGGGAACAATTTATGTAGCCAAGTAATAGCAGAATCCCAGGTTTCCTGATACTTCTCTTTCAATGAATATATTTGAAGCAGCACCTTGGAACATTTTACTTTTGGCAAAGACATCTTCTTTCCAAGTTCTTTTGTCATAAATCAATGTAACTGGGTTTGCACATCATCTTCAAAAAGAAAAAAAAATGAATTTATAATCCTATTTCATGTTGTTGAAGTTATCTACAAATTATTGTCTACATTTTCTTACTGAATTTGAGTTTATTTGCAGTTCATAAAAAATTGCACTAAATACAATCAGGGATAAATATAAATTTAGAGTCATCCATACACCTGAGTGACAAATAAGGAAGCACTAAAATATTTTCTCAACAAACCTATTTCCACAGTGGTCCTTAAAACTGACACATTGTTTATTTTATTCTAAAATATTTTAATCATAATCCATATGAAATAAATATTACTAAGAAATAATAATAAATTAGGAAAATGAATATTAAATCATAAATTTGTATCTGGATAGCAATAAATCGTAACTAAAATCCATTCATTAGATAATTTAAAAAGTAAGAAAATAGTTTGAAGGGGTAACTTCAGTGTATGTTAAATTTAAAATGTTACTTGGTAATTGAAATGCTGATAATTATTGTGAGAATACTGCAAAAACATAAGACATTCTAGAATTTTTTGCATTTTTTTTTTTTTGTAGAATGTCTTTTATCTCATTCTTTGAATATGAACATTTTTTGATCATAAGTCCTATGTTTTTTTTTTTTTTGTGGTTTGAATCTGAGCATAAAGTAAACAAATTGATTTTTGTTTCATGTTTTTTATGATGAAAACGGTTTTTAAATCCCATTTACACTTTACATATAGAAAATTAATATTTAAAACAAATTCTTACCGATTTCCTTGAAAATTTTGTCCATAGAAAACATGCTGGTCCATTCTTGGTGTCCGTGTTGACGCTGTGTATTGACTGTTGCGTGGAGTTGAAATGATGGCCGAGCAAGTCACACATGTGCAAAATGGAGCCATCATTTTCTGTTTGATTTTGATTTAGTTTAATAGATTATTAAATGAGCATTTTAATGATATATTTTATGTGTTTTTACTTTTTACGAGAAGCATTTGAATTTTACGATCAAACTTTTCACTTGAATTGTTTACAAACTTCTTATTAAAAAATATAAAATATATGAAAATGAAGCTTAGAATGTTAACTTTCAAACTAATATGTTACCAAAATTATAATAAACCCTGCGGAGTGTGCATGTTACAAAATTTGAGGAAGTCTAAATTGCCATCAGTGAAAAAAATGGCTAAAATTTTGTGAAATCACCAAAATGTCTCTATTTTCAAACTGTAATGTTCCTCGCACATTGTGGTACATATAAAAATAAATAAGATAGAAACAAAGTTAATGAAATAAGCTTTTATTTGATATGAATTATGTTTTATGGAGATATTGAATGAAATAACATGGCGAGTTGAATATATACCTTTTTTTAGTGTTTAGTTAAGAATTTCATTGGCTGTAAGCTGAGTGCTGGGATACCTATTACAACAGTATAATCATAATAATAATAAATCTGATGAAAAACAAATTCAAAATTAATAGAAGCCAGTCTAAGAAAAGGAAACCACTCCATTATCTTAAGTAGTTATGACAATTCACAGATAATAAAGAAATTGAATCTATAGAGTTATGCTGAAGGGACATGGTAATAAAAGACAAATGATCCCTAATGCAATGGTGGTTGCCAGTCTCATAAGCTATTGATAAAAAAAAAACTTGAAAGTTTTGTTGATGTGGCTTTGATGTATTCTTTCTAAATTTTTTTGTTTCTTACAGTTGGCCTTAATCACATGGCGTGACAATTTATTCAAACCATTGAACAAGCAGGTTACCAATGCAGTTCTGGCCCTCATTAAACGAGAAAGGCATGGAGAGACCATTAACACACGGCTTGTTAGTGGAGTCATCAACAGCTATGGTGAGTAGATTCATTGAGATCTTAGAAAGCAGTTGTATACCAGCTGGGAGTTTAGATATTTTCTGAATGGTTTTGGCACCATGTATGATATCTATATAAAAGTCTTGTCAGATTAAGACTATTTAAGAACATGACTCAAGTTTTTGGGTTAAGCTTTTGGTTTTGTAGCAGTTAGCAATGTTAGGTGAAACTATCCTAAGCACAGCCTATTCTATGTTCAGTATCCTTATCTCCTATAATAATGATCCATACACCAAAGTTTTGTGCTAGTGTGATAAGTTTTCACAAACAAGTTCTTTATTTTTTTTTTTTTTTTTTTCTTCCATAGGAAGTGGAAACATTCGTTAATAAGAATTAGGAGTTTGTTTTAATAAACATTTCTAAATTTATGCTTTCTCATCTATTTACAAAATTAAGTCTTTAACCCTTTAAGGAGGAAATAAATTATTTTTAATAATAGCTCGTACTGTGTCTGAAAGAAATACATTTTCGTAAAACAGTTACACATCTCTAAATGTTTCAACTGAGCTAATGATGTTAAAACATTTTGTTCAATATCTGGTAGCAAATGTCGTTGGCTATCACTCATGACTTGCGCATTGCACTGCAGTATTTGAACAGTAATCGTGAGAAGTGACTGATGCTTAATTTTTCTGTTTGTATAGTCACAGTGATAATATTAATAATTAGAACAAGTGTTAGTGATAATAACAACCTTGAGTTGAAAAGATTGTTTCTGGGTTATATTTTTCAAGAGGGTACATATCGGCACTAGGACAACCAAGCACCGGGACAACTTTTTTTGAAATTTGTATTGGGGTTTTGACATGATTAAATTAATAAATTATTTTAATTTTTATAAAAAAAAAATCAAGTAAAATTATGAAATTAATTTTTTTATTCTATTATTTATATAAATTTTAAAAATTATAAAAAAAGCATTTATAATAGTTTTATTTATATTAATTTTAAAAATAAAAATAATTGTAATCATTATATTGATTTAAAAAATTATAACCATTTATATTTATTTTAAAATTAAAAGCTAAGTTTTTCTGACAGTTGTCCTGGTGCCGATTTTTTTTTTTTTTTTTTTTAAATTATGCGTACCAAAAAAGAAATGTAGACAGTATGTAAAGCAGTATTTTATTTAGGAGTTTGTAGAAAGCTGTTTGATCAAAGGCAACCTATATGCCTTATTTGCAACAATTCATTTTCTAATGAAGTGATGAAACCATCAAGTTTTTTAGAGCATTTAAAAAGAAAACATCCTGACAAAGTGAACAAACCCATTGCTTATTTTGAATATTTTAAAGAAAAACTTTAACCAATGAAATACTCTTGCATCTTTAAAAAAAAAAAAAAAAATACAGAAACGCATGAAAGTGGCTTGATTGCATCTTATGAGATAGTGTAAGTAATTGTAAAAACTGGATGTGCACGTACAATTGCTGAAAATGTTATTAAGCCTTCCTTTGATATTCTCATGAAAACTGTGTTGCAGCAAGATTGGCAAATGTCTTAAAAAATTGCCACTGAGCAATGATTCAATCTGGAGATGTGAAAACCCAATTAGGTGAAAAATTAAAAAGCACTAAATTCTCTGTTCAGATTTACAAATCTATACAAAGCAATATTCTTATTGCAAACTGTGTGAAGAGTTTTTTTTGTGAAACTTAGAAACTGATACCCACTGGATTGAAGCTGCAAAATCTTGGTTTCATGAAAGTTAAGTATCCTTTGAAACTTGGTATCTTGTGCAATGGAAGATTCTTCATCCATGTTTGGTAAGCATTAAGGGACTTATTGCGTGGCACATCGTCATCATTTAGTAGCCAAAAATATTAGTCCTGATCTTCATGAGTCATTGACAGTAGTTATTAAAATGGTTAATAAAATAAAATCTCACAGCAAATATGACACTTTTTTTGAAAGTTATTCTATTGATACCAAAGAACAGCATATACAAATTTTTATCCATATGGAAGTCCATTGGCTTCTGAAAGGAAACTGCTAGTTCAGATCTGTAAGGTTATTTAGTGCGATAGTTAATTTCCAGGAAAATTTGGGTGAGAAAATCAGGCATCACAAATGTGCCATTTACTTTTTAGCATGGTTTTTTCAAAAGTCCCTCCAATATCCCAATCATTTAATTTCCTCAACAAGATCATAATAAATACAACCATACCCAAAGCTATTTTTGATATGACTGGGGCCGATAATGATGACAACAACAATAATAGTATCAACAATAACAACAGGTATATATAAATGTCGCTATCAAATCTTATCAAAATTTAAATCTGTACCCTGAAAGGATGACTACTTTTCCAAGACAAGATATATGGCTACGGAAATTAAAAGAAAATGGTTAAACCCTTAACCTCATGTTTTTTGAGGTATGTAACACATAAATTAATCCCAAACTAAAATAATTTAAGTACTAATTTGTATATAAAAAAATTTAATTTATTTATTAGGCATTAAATTGTCACTTCATGTCCTTCATAACTTGTCTTAAATGTTTATTAGCATTCCTATACCTAAAAATTTTGAAAAACCAGTAACATTTTTGCTCTTGTATATAAATACTTGGTACAAAATAAAATCCTTGCATTTGCCTTGAGTAAGTCCTTCAGAGAACAAAATGTGTCAACTAAGTTTTCCTTTTGCTGTTATTGATATTATCCTTTTACAGATATGCTCTATCTGAAAGTTTTACATCCATATATATATATATATATGTGTGTGTGTGTGTGTGTGTGTGTAAACAAACTAGACATTTCAGTGCAATCCATAATATCTGAAAAACTACACACCACAAAAAAAATGTGTGTGTGTACAGGTAAAGAAATAGTTGTGTGTAGAAGTATACAAAAAAAAAAGAGGCTCTACAATGTGTGTGCATTGTAAGGTATATTTATGAGTTAAAGTGCTTGATTTCAGGGATAGACCATATGTAGATATAATAGTGGACATTGAGGTCAACACCTAACAACAACAGTCTGTTTTATGCTTAAGTGCAATTGTCATGCTTGATGGGTTGCATTTAAGCATGAAATGTTGATGGGTGTTGACCTCAATGTTCGCCTTTATACAAACCTATTTTAGTTAAAACTTTAGTTAGCACAAAGAAATGCTGTTAAAGACTGCTCCTATCTCCATATGGTTTTTAGAAATGGATCATTAGCAAAATAATTTTAATTGGAAAAGTTCAGTTTTGTTTAGAATGCTTTTGTTTTCCTATCAGGGTAATATTATGTATTAAGATTAATAATCTCAATGAAAAAGTAAATTGTTTTTTGTTTATTTCCATTTTTAGCCTGATTGTTTTAAGAATATAACACAAAATTATTCATCTTAAAATGAATATTGAGGATTTGTTTTCAGTGGCTCTTGGCCTTAATGAAGATGATCCCACTGCTAAGGGTCCAACGCTGAGTGTATACAAAGAACATTTTGAACACCCGTTCTTGGCAGATACTGGAAGGTTTTATGCTGGAGAAAGTGCAGAATTTTTGGTGCAGAATCCTGTCACAGAATACATGAAAAAAGTAATTTTTTATTGTTCTTTACTAAAAACTGTTTTTTTTCCTTCAACACTAAGTTTCCTTTGAGAATTTTTAAAACTTAAAATACTGAATTTCACTTGTAAAAGATTAAAATAAAATTTTGTATTTTTTTTTCATTTAGATATAAGTTGTTAAATCTCATTTGTAACAGTTCTTACATTACCTAGACACTCTTGGGCAAAAAATAAGTTAGCATTTTTTTTTTTTTTTTTTAATAGAAGTGGAAAAAAAATGTTATGCAACAGTACTATCCCACATTTACATTATTTACATTATTCAGACTATTGTCCTCATCTTTGTCGCCATATTTATTACAATGTTTCGTACGCTCCAGCCTTCTTCAGGTGGTTGGAATGTCGAACCCTTTATTTCACTCACTGTTCTGCCATTTTTAATGGATGTCAGTTATCAGTTATCTCCTGTTAATTTCCCTCTGAAAGTTCTCCACTCCCTTAGCCGGGTATTGAACTGGATCTAACTAATGCCTTTATCTATTGTGCCATGTGTCCTTGAGGACATCTGTGTATGAATTTCTGGATATTATAAACCTAATGTCTTCAGCAAACATTTTTTACCAGAGCTCATATTGCAATTTTTTGTTGTTATTATCACTTTTCTCTGGCACTCCTTATTACTGGTTCCCATATTGTATTCATTTCTACGCAGGAGATTTTTGTCTCCAAGCATATGTGCTGATTCCTTAAGTTTATGAATTTTCCAATGGTGTTCTTTGTCTATAATCTCAACCTGATCCCACAGAGCACGGTGATCTCCCTTCTCTCTCCATATGTGGTCAGCCATGTCTGATTTTTCCACTTCCCCTTATGTTACAGCTTTCTGGTGTTCTTGAAGCCTTACCTTAAGGGGCGGCCTGTCTCCCCTTTATATTTCTTTCCGCATCTGCACGGGATAGCATACACACAGTCTTTAGTCATGTTCTCCTGTATGGGGGGGGGTCTTACTCTGGAGAGATATCTGAAGTGTCGTCAAGCTTTTGAAGGTTGTCCTGATGTTATATGGATCGCAGATTCTTTGTATTTTCTCTGATAATCCCTTCACATAAGGCAGGCAGACTGTTTTCTGAGTGTTGTTGTCCTCTTCTTGTACCTGCCTAATGTTTTGCCATCTTTTGGGCAACATTTTAGGCAAAATGCATGTCAGTCTGAACTCTTATGTTGGTTCATTCACTTTACATCATGCATATACCACACATACACTTTCCGATTACTTGAAGCAAGTATGTGTAAAACCTGAAACTTGCAATGAAACCAGGGTGTATCAATGATAATTTGCTTCAACACATCTTTGATATATTCAATTCATAACATGAAGTTACTATTAGGAGTCAATCAAAATATGACCAACTTTGAAACAGTTAAAATATTTCTGATAAAACAGTTAAAATATTTCTGATAAAACAGTTAAAATATTTCTGATAAAACAGTTAAAATATTTCTGATAAAACAGTTAAAATATTTCTGATAAAACAGTTAAAATATTTCTGATAAAACAGTTAAAATATTTCTGATAAAACAGTTAAAATATTTCTGATAAAACAGTTAAAATATTTCTGATAAAAACAGTTAAAATATTTCTGATAAAACAGTTAAAATATTTCTGATAAAACAGTTAAAATATTTCTGATAAAACAGTTAAAATATTTCTGATAAAACAGTTAAAATATTTCTGATAAAACAGTTAAAATATTTCTGATAAAACAGTTAAAATATTTCTGATAAAACAGTTAAAATATTTCTGATAAAACAGTTAAAATATTTCTGATAAAACAGTTAAAATATTTCTGATAAAACAGTTAAAATATTTCTGATAAAACAGTTAAAATATTTCTGATAAAACAGTTAAAATATTTCTGATAAAACAGTTAAAATAATGTTAAATTTATTTAAAAAAAAATTTTTCAGGACTATTACTGATTCTAAGTATGCTTAGTGTTTTTTTTGTATATTATTGACATATTTTGTACATGTTCAATAAAATAAGATAAAATACACAAAATATGAAAAATTTCAAGCATGTGTGTATGTCCATATTTATAAAATTGTTGTCCTTTTGTAAGGTTTTATTTTTCACAAGTAAGATTTAGTTCATCCTTCTCCTTCCCTTCAGTTCAAGGCTTTGTTGCCAATTAATAGATGAGAATTTGTTTTCCTGCTTGGAATCAAAGAAACAAATACAAAAAACTGTTGCCTTTTTGAAAATAAATATATTTAATTTCTTACTTGTAAAATGGTAAATACAATTTAAATAGATATTTTGTTGTGATAAAAATAAAATCAAGTAAACTTCTATGAGTGGCCTCAATTTTTGTTTTTATTGTTGTATAAAATTTGGTAAACTATATTTGTTCTTATATTAAACTCACTTTTTATTTGCTATTAATGTGATTATAGGCAGAAACCAGGCTTATGGAAGAGGCTAAGAGAGTTCAGCTCTACCTCCATGAAAGCACACAAGATGGTCTTGCCAAGGTCTGTGAGAAGACCCTTATAGAAAAACATTTGGAGACATTCCATGTTGAGTTTCAAAATTTACTTGATGATGACAAACATGCTGGTGGGTACTATTTTTTAAGAAGGGATACTAATGATTAATTTTAAATGCTATAGGGTTGTGTTTGTATGCATATTTGAGAATTAAAATAACATGTTGACATGTAAAATGCTTTTTGCATACTGCATTATTAGAACAGAAGAATTAAGTGGTGCATTCTTGGTATGGACATAAAAATTGTTAAAAAGTATTTTATATTGTTTTAAAGACAAAAATACAGAGGTTTTTATTTAAGAAATTCTCACACAATTTTGAATAATTTTTTGAAAACAAATTAAGCATAGAGCAAATATTCATAAACAAGCCTCAGATTTAATGAATATATTTTTCTTGTACTTGGATTAACATTTCTCCAGTATATCCTACTCTTTGGTTGTTCAAGGAGGGTGCTGAAAAGCTTGACCCACATAAAAAATTTGAGTATTTCAATGACCAAAGATCATAATACTGATTTTGGGAAGTGGGTTAGACTAAGAACTTTTTAGCAGCCCTTATGTTTTAAAAATAAAATCATACTATCAATAAAAAGTATCTGCTTTTCTTGAAAGATTGATTTGTAAATCCCAAATTGTCTAATGAATGGTAAAAATTGTAACTCTCTAAAGACCTATGAGCGTTGTGCAGGTGTTTATGAAAAGGTTGTGCATCTACTGAGGCTATACCACTTACTTAAATGATTATGGAAGAATGAAACAAAATGTTTATCTTTTAAAAACTTTAATTACAAGAAATTTAAAAGATTTAAAGAAATACCAAAATTGATAAATTATAGTTAACTAAAAAGTTTTTCTTTCATTTTTAGATTTAGGGCGAATGTATCAGCTTGTCTCAAGGATACAAGATGGTTTGGGAGAGCTGAGGTCTTTTCTTGAGACTCACATTTATAATCAAGGACTTGCTGCCATTGAAAAATGTGGAGAAACAGCTGTTAATGTAAGCAATGGATTTTTCAAAACTTTAAACTCTGATAATTTATGTTGAAATTTTTGAAATGTGGGATTGTTACATGCTCATGTTGGTTGTTATTCTTAATGTTTTGGCCATTGTATTCTCTGGTGTTTTTTATGTGCTGTTCTATGAGGTAAATTTGGAATTTTGTATTGAATCTTTATTTCATAGATTGTTCTCATTTTGCATATCATGCTTAGAGGATATCTCATATCGGTTCATTTTTTTTCTAGTCTAAGCATAGAAAACTGAATGAGAATGATCTACCCCTAAAGATTGGATTAAAGGGTTTGGTTTAATATTCCAACTAGTCTCTTTTTTAATAACTTGGGAATTTGACAAAGTGATCACATTCACACATCTTGCCTTTTGCTCCTCATATATGGGACTGGCAATATTTAATCAATTTTAATTACTGCTTCCCAACTTTTTTTCTTCTTTTTTTTTTAATCACCCTTTATACATGAATATGAGATACTGAAAAGAATATACATAGTTTTTTTTTTATTTAAATGATTTAATGCTGTTCAAACATTAAGTGTTTTCCTTATTAAGATTATTATTATTCAGATTTAATATAGCATTCACATAATATAAAGATATTGTCTTTGGTCTCTAGGCAAAAAAAAAAAAATTGGGCTATTTTAAAAGATTTTTTCTATTGTAGGATCCCAAAATTTATGTCCAAACAATACTTGATGTCCACAAAAAGTATAATGCACTTGTGCAGACAGCATTTAATAATGATGCTGGATTTGTTGCTGCATTAGACATGGTATGTATTGCTTTTTTTAATGCAGTTTTTCTATTTTGTTTCTTGCATTCACAAAACGGGGTGTAAATAACATTTTCTTTATTATTATATATTTGGCTTTCTGAAAACTTGGATGCAGCTTGATTTAATGATTTCTTTTTAATATAGCTCTTTGGTAAATATTAGCGGATAACTTTTTTGTCACAATCATGAAAAGTAACGTGTTTTTTCATTTCCATGTAAATATCAATTTGAAAGCAAAAGTTGGGATAATTTTCTAATGTCATATCATTGGCCAAACACTGGTTTACTGTGTCTTGACTAGTCAAAGTAAATATTTGACCTCCAAACTTTAGTGTGATCTGTTACGACCTTTCAACACATATGGATGTTAAACAACTGATGTATAATTTTAATAATGTTTAAATTTACTAAAACTACTTATTAAAATCAAATTAAAAAAAATGTAGCAAAATCAGAAACACCCCTTGTCATTCTAGGCTATTTTCAGGTAGTCATAATTAGTGATGGGACTTTTAGTTCTTATGCCCCCGATCAAGACAACCAAGAATTTTCCTCAATCAAGTTCCACCATTTAGGGTCCCACAAAATGTCCGAGAAAACTAATTAGCCAATTCCAGGTAAATTTGGTTACAGTCCAACAAATTAACTGAAGAACGAACACAAACAAAATGTCATATTAAGGATAATGGGGAAATCATGCCCTAAAGACTATTTTGACTTGTGATATGCTAGTTTTCAGTATTTTGCAAAACCATTTTTTGTTTCTGGTTATAACTTAAAAGAAAAAAGTTTAGCATGCTAAATTTGTGTTTTATGACTTTCTGTAGTGCCTAATATAAAACTGGCTTAGATATTTTAAGACCATTAATACATTGTACCTTTATTAATAAATTTTCTGAAACTTAATGATTCTTCAGTTTAAAAACTTTTTTAATATACAGTTGAACACCTCATATCTGAACTTAAGAGTAGTCCGGATATAATGTGGTATGTGTAATATAACTATAACTTAACAAAGCACAAGAACTTATTGCAATATATGAAAAATGAAGTGTCTCATGAAAGTAAATATTAATTTGCAATGTTTAATGCTCAATAAGTTTTATTTTCAATTGTCTTATTTCTTTTCTCCTATTGCTTTTTTTTTTCTGCAAATGACAGGTATTTGTACATGCTGTACTACTGAACAAAGGTCCCCCCCATGAATTTGATAACCTCATCAATAGCTTTCTCTACTGAGTCCTAGTCTCCTTCATATTTTCACCATTATTGGAAGAATTTTGTTCTTTGTCTATTTCTTGACCATCCAAATCATTTTGAAGTGATTCTACCATTGAATTCTTTTGTAATTCATTAGTGTCTTCATTCATCCATTCTTTTAAGTCGTTTTCAATAATCTATAATTTCTAACATAACGTGAAAGAATTTCTTTTCCTTTTAGTTGAAGTTTCTTCTGTGCAGGACATTATGGGTTGAGAAATTTCAAATTACTAACAATTATCTGCAAAGAAAAGAAAAATATTAGAATGTTGCATATTCCTACAACATCTAAATGGCAACACTGACAAGTTTGGATGTGAGGAATTCTACTCTATTTACTAAGCTTTAAAGATTGTAAATTTGGTGTACTCAATGAGGATTTCACTTACTACTCAGAAATGATGGTCTGATAAACTTTGCTTGTCATGGTGGAGCTCCCAAAATCTTTGGATTATATATTAATACTAGCTATATAAATTCACTATTCTATTTGTTCATATTTTCTGTCAGAAATGTTAAACAAATTCAAGAATATCCTACATTTGATTCTGCCATTTATTAATGTAAAAATAATCTACCTTTAAGTTGGTACAATGCAAACAAGAAAACATCTTTTATTAAAACTTATAAAACATTTTACAAAATTTTAAAATTCTTATTTTATTGAATAATATCAAATATTTATTATTTTCATTGTTTTTCTATTTATTATTTTAATTATTATAATTATTAATATTTTCATATTGATATATTTCATTTCTTTATTTTAGGCTTGTGGTCAATTTATAAATGATAATTATGTGACAAAGAAAGAAAACTCCTCTTCAGGAAAGTCCCCTGAATTATTAGCAAGATACTGTGATCTTTTGCTTAGAAAAAGGTAAGGCTTTATTTGAAAAAAGCATATTTAATTTTATAAATTTAAATTTCATCTTTCTATTGTTGTGTCACTAAAAATATAAATAATATTTTCACTTGAATTATGTTTTTAAAACTTGGAGGTTATGGCTTGATGAAATTTTACACTGAAGTTTAAATTAGGAATGCATCTTGTGACTTTGTCATTTGTCTAATTCCACAACAACAGTTATGATTTTGATATTTCTAGATTTAAAATGTTTATCGTATTGTAATAATACACTCAAAATAAAGTGACTTAGTGTGGTTGTAAGCTTGTCATAACCTCATTTAAGTCATAGTTAAATGTTTACTTGATGGAATTGCATGTGCTGTTTATTGAAACCTCATTAGGTTGCCATTAATTTTACATATTTTTGTATTTTGAGATCTATAAAATAATAATAATGTTTAATGCATTTTAGTTCTAAGAATCCAGAAGAAGCAGAATTAGAGGAAACTTTAAATAAAGTGGTGAGTTGTTTATTATTTTCTTCAGTTTATTCAATTCTCTGTGATGATACATCAGTTATATTAAAATAAGATAAACCTAATGCCCCTCATTTTATTATGTAATCAAAATGTTCACAGAATGTTTTGTTTTTTCTTCTTGTAGATGGTTGTCTTTAAGTACATTGAAGATAAAGATGTTTTCCAGAAATTCTACAGTAAAATGTTGGCCAGAAGATTAGTACTGCATATGTCTGCTAGTGATGATGCTGAAGCGAGCATGATATCCAAATTGAAAGTAAGAAAGAATGAGTCTATAATTTATTTTTCTTTGACAATTCCAGAAGATAATATTTCCTTTAGATTTGCACCTTTTACAATTCCTAAATTCAATTACTATTGCTTAATAAAGGAAAGCTTAACAAAGGTTAAGGTCTATATTTCTATTAACCATTGTACAATGGTTTATATTTGCGAGTGAGATTCAATTAATTTTAATTAAGTCCAATAAATGAATGCTATTAACTTTCTCATTGGTATTTCCCTAAAAGACATACTGTTTTGATATTTTTTAATTTGTTTATATTTTATACTTGAAACAAAATTAATATTAGAATATTGGAAATATTTTGTGGAGGTATTTGTGTTTGTGTCATCTCACCAATTTATAAATGCTAGCTACTTTCATACTTGAGAAAATACTTGAAAAAAAAAAAAATACTATGTTAATTTTGTTAACACTGGCCTGTGATGTTTTCAAGGTCGAATATATAATAGTTGATTTTAAAGTAGTTTTATATTCTGAATCCAAAAATCATACTCATTTTTTTTCTAATAGGATCAAATTTTTAAGCTACAAGCTCTTACTGGAAATGTATAGAACAGTATTATAACTCTATTCTTTTTGAATTAAACAAATAAGGCTAAATTTAGGGCTGATATATTCACAGAAAACTCACATTGTGCCATAGTAAACTGGAAAAATACACAAAAGAAGCTATTCATGGATGAAAGATCTTTTCAGAGACTTCCTCCTGGGCTTGGCAGCCACCACATTCCATTTCAAGCACCAACAGTAGTCAGCAAGAAAGTTTACATCCCACCAGCCTTGATAGCACTCTTCCATAATGTGAATGTCTTGGTGAAAGTGCTCTTCACTCAAATCTTCACAGTTCTTTGAAAAATAGTCAAAGTGTGACTGCAGAAAGTGTAGTTTGACTGACATTTGTGCCCCAAGTTCGTGGAAACTCTTCAATAGCTCTTCAATTTTCTTTTAGTATTCCTGGGAAGTTTGTAACTACTGACTTCAGTGACTGCCAGGCGGACAGTTCAGCTTCACTCTGCTTGGTCAAATATTGGGTCCTTCATGAGTTCTCTTATTTGAGGGCAGTCAAATATACCAGCTTAGTTTCTCCATGTTTATCTGTGGGGACTTCTCTTGGAGAAAAATGAACCCACCGCCTTTCCTGTTCATTGACTTCACAAAGTTCTTCATTACTCTTAACTTGATATGTAAGGGTGGAAGCACTGTTTTGTTCAGTTCAATGAGAATGTGAGACTGAACGTTATGCAAGGCAGGTTTTAACCCTTAACAGCCACTCTTGCCTGACATAATGTTGGATGCCAGCCCGGATGTCCCAGAGACACAGAAAATCAGTATACTTTGTGTACCCACCTTGAAGTCCTAGGACCAGTCCAACCTCCTTAATATCTCCACAGATCAACTATTTGTGCTGCTGATAGTTAACAAATGATCCATGCTGTTGTGAGTTTATTTCATTTTTACTCAATGCCCAATAGGGATAGATGAAAAACTATGTAGAAGAACTGCTTTGAGACTTCTGCTGTATGAGCCAATAAAAAGTCTCCATTCTGTAGCATCATACTCTAATCCCATTGATTTGATCAATACAGCAATGTTGTTGCAATAAACCAATGATGACTTATTCTGGAATGTGGAAAACTGTCTTAATTCTCTCTCACAGTCTCTATACCAGTAGAATGTTTTTCTCTGAGACATGAACCCAACAGCTGAGCAGACTCCTTTGAAAGGTTCAAGTCTTGTGTCAGGTTGTTGAGTTCTGCTTGTGTCAAGAGTACTGGCTGGTTGTCCTCTTCTAGCTTGTATGCGTTGTCCCCAGCTATGCCATGTCATTATGTTCGGAATCAGAGCTATATTCCATGTTACCATCTGGCTCAGAAACGGGAATGTCTGGGCCATGATGGATTGGTCTTATGGCAGGAGGAACATCGGGGTATTGAACATGGTGCTTGTTCTTGTGATTTATTTCTTTTAGATTTAGCATGCAGAAATAGCAGTCAGTAATGTGATCGTTTCCTTCCCTCCAGACCATTGGAATGGCAAATAGTATACTCTTCCTTTTACCATTCCTCCAATCTCTCAAGTTCTCCACACGTGTTTTACAGTAAACATGGGGAGCAAATGGCTTATCATGATCCCCAAGTTTGACTACAAAGTAAGTGCGATATGCCTTCTTCACAAAGTCAGTGATTTTTGATTGACAGTTAGGAAGAACCACATTACTGCAGATATAACAGAGCCTGTCAGGATTATTCTTTGACTTGCAATCCATTCTTACAGGAATACAAATGTCAAGCTGAAAAGAGAAAAAAATAGATCAGTACTCAACTTCTCATTAACACTTGATACAGTACATTAAAATCATTTTAAGCTGAGGGATAAGCCCTGCCTCCTAGGTATGTGGGTGTTAGTGAGTAGGGTGGTACGCTGTAGTTAGGTATACATACAACATTATATGCTATACTAAACATCAGGTACCCACAATCACCTGTGACAAGTTGAGTTCACAGGCATTTGAATAAGTGTTATTATTGTGTACAACTTGTGAAGTATTCAAACACATCTTAAAAAAACCAAACCTGACCAAACACAATGAATGATATTTTTTAATTCAGCATAAAATGGTGATCATATATCACTTGATAAACCTTTGACCTTTGGAAAAAAATCTTTTTAACACAGGTCAGTGTAATATGAACATAATTTATCTATTTTCTTAATTGAAGAGAAGTTTGTAAGATGATAATCTTTTCCTTCTTTGTTGCCTACAGCAAGCCTGTGGCTTTGAATATACCTCCAAACTTCAGCGCATGTTCCAAGACATTGGGGTCAGTAAAGACCTAAATGAAAGATTCAAGAAGCATCTACAGGCATCATCTCAGCCATTAGACAGTAAGTATTAATGCAGTCATTTTCATTATTTTCTCTTTCAAGTGAAAAGAATCCATGCTCACATACAACACTTTTATTTTTTGTAAAGATTTTTTATATTTATGCCATTGTAATGGACAAGTTGTCTATTTAATAGTTGGCCATCAAATTTATAAATAGCTGATCAAGAAAGTTTTTTGGCTTAAATCCTTGTAACAAGTTTAACTCTTTGTATATTTTACAAATTATGAATGGAGGCTAAAACCATTTCTTACCTAATCATGGTAAAAAATGGTCACCTTGAATTAGGCTAAAAAATGTCTTTTTTTTCTCTTGTACACCTTGTTTTTCAACCAGATTGAGATGAAAATGCACATCTTGGGCATTAATTTAACTTTTTTTTTTTTTTTTTTTTAGTTGATTTTAGTATACAAGTTCTCAGCTCAGGATCCTGGCCATTTCAACAAACTGGGTCTTTCAACTTACCAGTGGAAGTAAGTTCTTTTGAATTTTGATTTAAGACACCATATTCTTTCCTTGGCTATTTGAAATTTTTATTATGTCGTCATCTTCATTTGAGTAAACTAATTCAGGCCAGAAGTTATTTGTTTGCGAGATATATGTAGTACAAATTTTTCCTTGGTTGCCACATAAAAGCTGTGCAGGTCTCGTTGGTCAGTGTAGCTTTGTATTTCTGCTGCTTTTCTTTGCCACCAGGTGTTCTGGGCTTCTTGTATGCCTCTTTGGCAGTTATACTACGGTTTGTTTATGAGCACGTTTATTGGTAGCTGTAGGCTGGTTCTCCATAGTGTCTGAGGTTTTAGTTTCAATGAGAGGCGAGATGGACCCGTAACTCTTATTGAACCAGTCCTGTCTTTTCTTGTTTGAGTAGCTGATGTTTTTCTCCACTGCACGGGTCATGGCGTCTCTGAGGGTGGTCCAGTGGTGCTCCACAGAAGCCTGATCCACTGGGTCTGCAAGGTGGCGTTCCAAGACCACCATGTGTTCGGTATGGGAGCTGCAGTACGCTAACGACAATGCCACCCCAGGTCAGACTGCAGAGGACCTCCAGTCACTAGTGGACGCATACAACACAGCCTATGAACAATTTGGGATGCAGGTCAACACAGAAAAGACCAAATTATTAGTTCAACCACCACCCGGACTGCCGCTCCCAAACACTAACACCACTGTCAATGGCCAACCACTGGAGCAAGTAGATCAGTTCTTGTATCTGGGGAGCATTCTGACATCAACACCCACATGCAGAAAGGACATGGAGAATAGAATCAGGGCAGCCCACTCCACCTTTGGCCGATTAAACTACCGCATATTTAAAAACCACGCACTGACGATGACCACCAAAAATCATGGTCTTCCGGGCAGTAGTCATCTCCACCCTTTTATACGCTTGCGAAACATGGACCCTATATAGAAGCGAGGTAAAAATGCTAGAACGCTTCCAGCAACTGAAACTAAGGCAAATCCTTAACATCTCTTGGGAGAGCTACACCACCAACACAGAAGTGCTGGACAGAGCCTCAGTGAGCAGCGTCGAGGCCACTATCATCTACAACCGCCTCCCCTGGGCAGGACACATGCATAGGATGGATCCTTCCAGGCTCCCCAAGAAAATCCTATATGGCGAGCTAGCCATTGGGACCAGACCACGAGGAGCACCCAAAATGCGCTACAAGGACCAACTAAAATGCACCCTGGCACTTACCAACATCAGCTTGTCCTCATAGGAAGAAACTGCCAGGGACCGAACGACGTGGAGGAGATCAATACGCGGTGACATCGCAAACTTCAAGGAAAGGAGGAAGGAGAATGAAGAGGCAAGGCAACGAAGGAGAAGAGAGCACTGTGAACGACCCCGTCCTCCCCCTACCCTCCCCTGTGAGCACTGTCCGTGACTATTCCACCACCGCCTGGGGCCTTGCAAGCCATGTCAAACATAAATATCAACCGTGAAGATAGGACTTAAAAGATTGACAGGACCTGATACTCAGACACGACTGGGAGTCGACGATGATATGTAATACAGTATATTTACTGTATAGCAAAATCTTTATTAAACAAGGGATCGGTAAAAAAAGAGCATAGCATGAATAAAAAGGACCTTAAACTTGATGAAAATAATTTTTTATTGTCTATGTTTGTGTTATTATTAAGAGGAAAGATCAAAGTATGTTGGTATTTTTTTTACATTTTTTAATTGTTCCTAGCATGTTTGAAATTTTCATTAAAATTTTTTTTTTTTTTTGAATCAGCAAAATTGACATAATCATGTCAACTGTTTTTTTCCATTTTATAAAAAAAAAAAAGTCGGCGTCAAATTCTTTTAAAAATCAATTATAATTTTTTCAAAATTTATTTTAAGAAAATTAGAAATTATGAAATTTATTTAAAATATTTTGAAACAAACATTACGTTTCTGCACTGAAAAAAATGTAGTTTAAAAGTAAGACAAATCAGGTTTTAACATTTGGTGTCACTTGTCAGGTGATGAGTGATGATTTTATCACGTGTTGACAGCTTATGTGAGGAAAAGTTATTGTAAGGACAGAAGTGACAAAATTTAGTTTTAAGTGAACCAACTTATTTACCTCATTATTTTTGAGGAAAACTTTCAGTGCTCTATTTTTTTTTTTTTTTTTTTGCACTTATCTTTCACCTTTACTTTTTTACGATGCTTTACAGAAAATATATTATAAAAAAAGTATGACTGTTGAGAGTGATTAAATTTCATGAGAAAGGACTCTAATTAATTTATAGGTAGCTTTCTTATGAAATTTTATCAGAAGTGTACATAAAATACTATAATTTTATGTACATTTATTACATGTTAAGGTGTTATTATTAATTTTGATATTTCATTTATGAAAAAAGTCATAACTGAAATAATATAAAAATAAAATCATATAAATTTCATAGGAAATACTAATACTTGTAGATACCCTTCTCGGTTGAAATTGAAAAATCAAATTAACTTCTCCGCATGTGTTTCACAAAAATAACAGCGGAAAACAACGCTTAACTCAAATAACACAACTTTTTATTGTATTCTTGCTGGTCCTCTGTACATTTGAATTACAGCCGTTTTATGGACACAAAAGCCATCTGTAATTAGTTTTTTTTGTTTTTTTTTATACTGTTTGGCTCTTCTGATAGTTATAACCTACACAACTTATAATGCTAAAAGAGGCACGGTGGAGTAATGGATAGTGGCTTGCATTGAGGAATTTGAGAGACAAGTTCAAATTCCAGTCGAATCCATTACACTCACTTACGTGCTAATACCCTTGGGAAAAGTGTGAATCCTCTTCTTCTCCTTCCAGCTATGGGTAAATAGCAGGACAGACTAGGTTCTATAGCCTTGGACGGCAACTGATCTAGGAGGAGGACAACTCTGAATTCAAACCTGGAGTGGAGCCCTTAAGGCGGATAGATGGCACTTTGTGCTACCTTCTGGCAACTCCTGCAGCCGTGCTGGTACCAGACTGTATTGGTTTATCCTCTCCTTTGGACTCTGCTAGCAAGGCTGAGATGTCTGGGCAGCCCTAGTTCTCTATATACCCTGCCCATGCTTGTAGCGCACTGCGCTACTCTGTTGTCTCTCTCGAGATAGACGGATGACGACGACGACACATCAAATACTTTTAGTTGCTAATTAAATAATATCTTTGTTTTATTTTATTTCTATTGCGTTACAAAAGAATTTCATGTTGCAAAATTCACATTGTTTTGAATTTTAAGGGCCATGCAGAAAATTCTATTTTATGAAATGGATGATACAAGTTTGAAATGAAAAATATTTTATAGATATTTGTTTTTAATAATGTAAAAAATTATGGTCAAAGTTTTTGCTGTTTAGCCATTTATTTTCTTTCTTACTTCCAGCTTGAAAGGAGTTTTCAGCGTTTCACAACATTCTATAGCAGCCAACACAGTGGGCGCAAGTTAAATTGGCTCTACCACCTTTCAAAAGGAGAATTGGTTACCAGTTGTTTCAAAAACAAATATACTCTCCAGGTAACAAATCATTTCTATATTAATCTATTTGTTCCTATTTCACTACACAATGTGTGTGAACTTCATACTTTTCTGACCAGGGTTCGTACAGGTCCTGGAAACCTTGAAAAGTCCTTGAAAATTGACAGGGCCTTTTCCAAGTCTTGAAAAGTCCTGGAAAAACAGCAATAACCCAAAAACTCCTTGAAAAGTCTTGGAATTTTCTGGATTGGGCTGCCCACACATCCCTTTTCTCAGTTGATGAAAGTCTTAGAAATCTGACTTTTTTTACAAGCTAAAGTGGTTTGTTTCCTTGATTAGGATGAGTTCATGACCTCGTAGTTATTCTGTATTTTCTTGTCTAACTGATGAGAAAGAAAATGAAAGCGCGTCTTCTCTTAGCTTCTACTCCCACAAGAAAAGAGAAAAAGCAAAGATAAAAGGCATCAAAGATAAATTAATTCACACTCATTGAATTTGTAGTTGAAAAGAAAATAATAAATTATTTTGTAGTAATAAAATACATTTCAGTAGAATTTTGAAAAATTTATCAGTGCTTTTTAAAATTTGAACAATTGAAGAAATTTTATTCACATGTCAATTTCAAAAGTAAATGTCCTTTTGATCTCTAATCAGCTGGTGAGCGAGTTCATGCTAAAAAAAATATACACATCCTGTGTCAATGTGTAAACTACGTTTGTCTATGTTGTTGCCAAAAGTAACAAGTTTGAGAATCAAATTTGACTCAAAATGTAGATGGGAAGGACGATAAAATAGACAATATGTCTTATAGAAAATGCATGTTTAAAAAAATAAAAATGTTATTTTTAAAGTTTGCAGGCTAATAATGACCTGTGTCTAACTTTTGTTGTAAATGTGAAAAATGATGAAATATATTAAAACTTATTTGGCTTAAAATTTCAATCTGGCAACCCTGTTTCTTTATTATTGTATTTCTGTTATAAATGGCTAGAAAATGTACAAACATGACTCCTAGACACTTGCCCAGATGTCATCAAATTTGTAAACTTAAAAACACAGAAAAATGTTCCCAGACCAAGTCCTTCTCTGCAGTGCTGTCAAATGCGGATGAAGTTTTATTTCCAGTGAAACTACAAATTTTTTTGAAAGATATTGAATCATTTCTGATAAAATATCAGTGATAAAACATTGCTTTCTTTTCCATGATAATGAAATTAAGATTTGTAAAGGCATGCTAAAAAGATAATTACATTTTTCAAACTGAATGAATTTGTAAGAATTTTATCAAACCCAAACGTGCATAAAGATGCTGCAAAGACTGTGTGGATTTCTGGCTATGCAAAAATTTATCCAAAAAAGGAAATGTGTTAAAAGATCTGTTTGCATGCAGAATTGCAACAGAAACAATGTTTATCACCATCATTGAGAAACTTCTGGCAAGGTCACTTGAATGGCTGAAATCTTGTATCCATTTGTGAAAAAAATCTGCCACAGAAGACAGTCTAAAAAGATGCTGTTCCCACATGATGGATACAAAACAAGTCTGATTGTGATGACATCATCAATCAGTACAAAGAGTTTGAGGAGGAGGCTGCTGGAAATATTGCTTTCAAGAATTTCAGCTGGACACTTTGTTCTACTCTTTGTCTAACAAAGGATATTAAAAACTGTGGAAAATTGTTTACAGATTGCTGGTAATCTTTCATGGACAGGCTTCAATGGAGAGAGCTTTCTTAGTCAATAAGAGAATTTCCACTGACAATTTGTAACCGCAGACTGTGGCTGCAGAGGTGTATTATCATGAACTATTTGGCCAGAGTTAGAAGGCTCTTCTGTATAGTGCTTCCAATGCCAGAACACCATACAACCAATACCTTGAGGTTGAGAAGAAAAAAATGCAGGAAGAAGCAGCTGGACAAAAACAAATTCATGCTGAAGACCAAAAACCACAAGCTTGAAACTTGCACACAAGATTTGTTCAAGTTAGCTGACAGTTATGCGGAGAAAGCTGAACAGATTCGGCACTTCACACTTATCACTAAGACCAATGCTATGCGAAGATCTGCAAAGGACAAGTCTATAGAGATATCAAAATTGAAAGAGCTGAATGCTAAACTAGATGAACTGAAAAAAAAAGTTAGCATCATTGTATTAGTGCTGTGTGCAGCAAAATCCATGAGTAGTAGGGGTAGCTAAAATGTGTAGTCTTTTTGTGAAAATTTCTATTTGTAGTTCTGTTCATTAAAACCATTATACTTCACAGGAAATGTGCAGCAGTCAAGAATTTTTGTGGCATTCACAAATCATGAGTAGTCTAGATAGCTGAAATGTGTAGCAGTAAGTATTAAAGTGTATAATTCAAAATTTTCAAGTGTTGTAGATCTCCAAACTGTATAGAATGCTACACAAAATGTGTAACATAACCAGGTTTGCATTCGGTTGTTTTTTAATCTTCAACACTTGGATTTCTTCACTGCTTTCAACTGATCCATGTAACATGAATTATTGGAACCAGCTATAGCTTTTCTTTGAGCATCTCATCTGTCAAAATATTAAAAGATAAATCACAGTTTGTTTTTGAAATTGGTGACCATTCATTTTGTGTGTGCGTGCCAGTTTCAGTCCTTGAAATTTCTTAATGTAGTCCTGGAGTTTTTTTGTTTTTTTTTAATACAGATCTGTGGGAAACCTTTTCTGACATTTACAGTTATAAATTAACAATTGAAACAAACATTTACTCATACATCGTGTCTTGCTGAAAAATCCACTGTTATTGGACTTCCTTGGTGTGTATTCTGGAGATTAAGTATAAGGTCTATATACCAATGGCTGGAAAAATGCCCATTTTCAATTGTTAATTATGGACTAATGAGATAACAGGACTTCATTTTCAATTCCATTCATGATTGTAGTATGGGGAACATATAAAAAAAAAGAAAATTTCATTCATTTACCTGTAGTGCCACAAATTATGGTCTAGCTAAAAAAGTGGTTGATTTCTAGGTGTTTTTGTTGTCATTTTTGGATTCCTTGTCCTCAAACTTTTCTGTGCAAATTTTCATGTAGGGGATTTTGTAATGCTGCGGCTTTGTCGCGAACCATGTTTCATGCAAAATCTTAAAAATGGCATTTTCTGAACTGCTTGGACTTAGAGGCTCAAAATTTCAGGATTGTCTCGCTTTAATGAACCCTACCACTGGTTAAAGTTTTAAGAAAATCCATGAGGTAAGAGTGACAACTTTCTGTTTTTCTGGATCATTTGATATGGAATTACCCAGTGAAACTTTTTGAGCTTATGCAGCATTTCTATATATGATTCCAAACGAGCTGTCAGTTTAACAATTATTACTCCCCAGAACCTGTTAAATAATAATTCAATATCCAATCTCTGATTTGTCATGGCAGTATACTCTGAATGTTCCACTATTTCTTAGGTTTGTCTTCATAATCCAGTGGCCTTTCTTGTTTACATAGCAACCATTTTCCTGGTTTAGTAACTGAGCCAGTTGGCACAAAACTTATTACATTGGGTGACCTACACTGCTTTCTCATAGTATCTGCTATTATTATAAGGTCTTCATTATGTCTCTTGGACTCTGACAATTGATAAATTTAAGTCAGTATTTTATCATTGAGTAGTGTTTTGCAAGTTAATTCACAGCAGTGATGGGATTGATCCTCATTGGCCTTATACCAGACTTAGAAAGTACAGTTGTGTGTGACTGATAGTGACTATGAATGGACAATTAACAAATGAGTTATACTTTTTTAATGAATGTAAATTAAGTAACATCATTAAAAATGAGAGATAATGAACTTTTAACAAAAACTTGTCTTGTTCAGTAAGAGCAGTTTTTTTTTTATTTTGTGGCTAAAATTTAATGTTTAAAGTTTTTTGTCGCCTGTGCACTTTTGTCAGATTTTACTTTTTCTGTTTGAATCATTAAATAGATCAGAAATTTTTCCTTTTATTGCCTATTTGCAAATTGTTGCTTTTCAACACCAGATGAAAAAAATTTTTATTTTATTGACTCACGATTGCAAGAGTTGGCCTATTCCATTCTTTGCTGCATACTCTTAAATGTGGTGGTAGTAAGTTGTTTAGTATCTTTTGAAACAATTGACAAAATGCAACCATGTTGATTGGCATTGATGAAAAGGTAGCAATAAATGGATAGGTGAATGAGGAAAAAAAAAAGAGCAAATGCATTAGATTCATCTAAGAAAATGTCAAGGATCTTGCAGTGACTTATAAATCAAGATATCTGTTAACATACTCAGTAGAATCCAAATGAATAAGGCCCACTATGGGTTTATTTCTGATTTTCATACATTAACCTCTAAGTTGAAAAGATCAATTGTTGAATATGTCCTAATTCAAAAGTTGTTAAAACTGTACATTTTGATTTGTTCTGCTTTTATGAAACCTTTGCTGGATTAGTTTTTATCAATACTAGGAAAGACTAAACTAAAGTTTAAAAGAAATAAAGCTGAACATTAAAATTTCTATAAACTCTGGGAGCAGTTAAAAGGAGGCATAACTTTTATAATAACTATTTCTCAACTGGGAGTTTTCAGGGTTAAGTGAAATTATAGCATACTAACTGGAGTCAATGAAATTCCACAAGTGTTAGCAACAAAAATTATTCATTACTGCATGTCTTTTTCCTGGATCTTTTCATTATTTTCTTTATCCTTCCAATATCTGTTTCTCATCCAGATTAATTTCATTTACAAAACATGTTCAAACAATATTTTCTTCTATACCCTCTCTCTCTCTCTAATGAATAATTTAATGTATTGCATTTTTTATGCTTTTCATCTTGCAATCATTGTTTTTTGTTATCTCCATCCATATCCTCTCTTACATATATTTTTTTCCTTTAAACAGGTTTTCTTTTTGCTGTTCTCTAGTTTTCTTACTTTCCAGCTTTCTTTACATTCTCCATAATTCCCTTTTACTATTCTTTAATATTGTATAACTTTACTCAGAAAACCTAATTGATTCCAGCTTAATTGAACCAAGCACTCATTGCACAAATAACTACATCCTGACCCTAGTTAGAAAAGCATAATGGCCTTACATAGAGGTAAATAGAATGTTACAGATGAGTTTAAACATGAAATCTAGAGGGTAAAGTCTCGGTATAGATCTTAGGCCTTAAAATGTTGTCTATTCAATTTGTAATTGAATTTTTAAGTGTGTGTGTTTTTTTTTTTTTTTCTTGTGATGTTTGCAAAAATTCATGAAAACTTTGAATGTCAAAATTGTTTTGTATATTTCATTTATTTTTTCTGGATATTGTGAATATGGTTTTATTGACTTTCTCTTAAAATAAACATTAAGAGCACTTTTAATTTTTACATTTTTTTTTTTTTTTTTTTTTTTTTTTAAAGGCTTCCACTTTTCAAATGGCTTGTTTACTCCAGTACAATTCAACCAATGTTTTGACTGTTCAGCAGCTATGTGAAAGTACACAAATTAAATTTGTGAGTATTTTTATCATTTCTTCTACAGATTTGCTCTGATTGTTGCTATACTAAACAGTACCTGTATCTGCTAACAAAAGATTAAAATAAATGTCCTTTCTTGTTGGTCTATAACATCCTCTGATAATTAAGTAGCTTTTAATTGAATCACTCAGTTTTTGCTTGTAATCCTTTCATTTTAATTTTCTGAAATTAGATTATATTCATTGGTTGCTGAACATACTAGATTTATAACCATTACTTTTAATTCACTAAAGTATCTCATGGTTTCTGGAATATTTTAATTCAATTTTCATCTCGCTCACAATTTAAGGGCAATAATTAAAATCTCTTTTCTGCTCTTTAAAAGGTTATAGAATTATTCTGATTTCTGATGCTTCAGTAAGAGATTGTGCCTGTCTCATAAAGTCCACTTAGCAATAGAATGACACTAATTGGCATTGAAAAAAAAAAAAAAAAGTCATGAGTCCTGTGACCATTTAGGATCAAAGGTGTACCATATATATTATTTCCCTAAGACAGCCTGACAGACACCACCCCTCTTTAAGCTGCTTTTGAATTCAGTTTTCCTTAAGTTTGAAAGAAAGTAAGACAACAATAAATATTGAGCTTCTGTAAACTGTAATTGAGGAAAACTCTAAGCAAATTGCATGAAAATTAGCAAATCAATTCAATACAAGTCACATTTTGATCATAAAACATTTTTAGGAAAAAAAAGTGTCTAAATTCTGACTGAATCTCAGTGTTTTACCCTCTCTATATCATTGAAGAGTAGACATGTTTATTGTACTTTATATAAGAAGTACCAGTGATGAAAAGTGGGTTCTCTATAATCATATCTAATGAAAACAAGAATGGCTAGCAATCCATCCCCAAAACTAAGGCTACATTTGAAAAAAGATATCTTCTATGTTTGGTGGAGATATGAACTGTGTGATTGATTATGAAGTGTTTAACTAAAATGAAACAATGTGGAAGAATACTGTCACCAATTTGAAGCATTGTACAAAAGTTTTCAGGAAAAGCATTGGTTAATTATACATAAAGGCATGTTTCTCTTACATGATAATGGAAGACCACATGTTTCTTGAGTCACGCTGAATCCACCTTACTCTCCTGATCTTGCTCCATTAGATTTTCATTTCAAATTTACCCTTGTAAGTGGCCTGTTTTTATTTATTGTAACTGAGGTATAATGCATGAAAATGAGAAAGCCACAATTCTGATTTGACAACTGAATTGATGTTATGTAATAATTATCATTATAATAATTACATCTGGCCTCTGCATGTAGCTAATTTCAATAGGGTTCAAAGTTTGATACATTTCAGTAATTGTCATGTTTATTCTTAGAGCTTGCTGGAAGAGGTTTTGTAAGCTTATTAAATGAAAGAATTTATATCACTAGAAATCATTTGGGGTTTTATAGGCATTTATGATCTAATGATATTTTGTGTATGTTGGTTGTGATTATTCAAGAATTTCATTTGAAGTTCTTAAATGGTTACAAAAGTTAAAATTGAACAACACATGAATGAGTGGCCACCTGGATCTTCAAAGTCTATTGTAAATAAAAATTTGAGTTTTTAGTCATGAATTGCCACTTGGTGCTGTCATTAAAAATGATGCTATAAAATGATATTAGTATTGAAAATAACTAGATATAATTTTTCTTTATTTTTAGGACACACTTGTCCAGGTTTTGAAAATTCTGCTGAAGACTAAACTGCTTATGACAGATGCTGATGATGATAATGATTTGCAACTCACCTCACAGCTAGCCTTTTTCAGTGATTATAAAAAGTGAGTTCATTCTGATCAACAAATCTACCTAATCTGCAAGGGTATAAAATACTGTTTAGTACTGCTTTTATTTTATTTTATTTTATTTTTTTTTTGCATCAGTTCAAACTTAGAATTTGAATGTTCTAATTCAGCAATTTTTACTTTTATTCAAATAGTGGATTGTAGCACTCCTTGATTTATTTTTTAGTTAAATTTTAGTTTAATTCTAGGCCTTAAACTGACAATGTTTACAGCAGTACATTCATAATTTTCTTTAAAATTTAATTTAAATCTAAATTTGCCATGGGTATTGTCAATGATTTGAAGAGTGAAAAAAGCAAAAATCTTCATGTAACTATAAGTTATTCTTTCAATTAGTATTTTATTTGTTTTTATGCAGAATAGCATATCAGGATAAGTTTAGGCAGTCAGCAAATAAATCTTGCTTTTTCCATAGGTTTTGTGATTATTGTGAATTTGATTAGTTTAGAATTGTAAATGTGCATGCCTCTCTCTCTCTCTCTCTCTCTCACACACACGTGTGTGTGCATGTCCATAACAACTTCTATGTTTATAAATATCAAAATATTGTGAAAATGTGGTTTAATATAAACTTTCATCACCTTGTGTTTTGGTTTGATTCAATCTCCTTGAAAATTTCTTTAAAAAATGACTGAATGTCAGTTTCCAATTGCTTTCATTATGTACCCTAAATATGAAGAATATAAAAAAAACCAAAAAAAACCCCAATTATTTACTATCATTTTTTGTTCTCCTTACCATACAGTTAGTTCCTTACTTTATGATCACTTGGAGGTTTATGACCATTTTACGTCAAAACTGGTTATTGTATGATCACCAAAGTTAAGCAACTATGAACCCATTCAGTAGCTAGATGTTTGATTGCTTTCAATAACTAGATGCTGTAAGTTTGGATGTGCAGATGGTGCAATGGATACCGGCTTGGAATTGGAAATCAGAGAGCAGAGTTCCAATTCCAGTCAGGTTCTTTTTAAATTCACTTACACACAAATACACTTGGGGAAAAGTATAAATTCACCTCTACTTCCCTGGCTATGGGTTAAGTCATTATCTCCAAAAGCTTCTTACAATCTAAAGATATTTTCTGGTTTTAAAATAGCTGCAAAAGGTTGATAATGTAAAATAGCTGCAAAAGGTTGATAATGTAAAATAGCTGCAAAAGGTTGATAATGTGACACCCAGCTGTTGGCCTGTGGTCAACTCTCAGTCAAGACACGAAGCTGTAATGTTTCTTCTACTGGTGTTTTGGGGTTGACTCTTTGTCGCTGCCACCAGCCTGTGTCCCGGTTGATCAGTGGTTCTCGCTACTCGGCAAAATTCCCTGGTCAGGATACCAATATGGGACAATGGCCCATCCAGGGTCGAAGTCTGGTTGTCAATGTTAACGGCTTCACCAGCTGTACCGGTTCAATACCAACTCTATCATTCCAAGCTCACTTGCAATGTCTGGTTACTGGAGTAACTGCTTCAATCTCAAGTCTAAACTACCCACGTTGTGACTTTGATCTTCAGGCGTTGGGCTGTAGTGTAAGCTGAGTCCAGATTGAAGGTGGTATCGCACAAGCGCAAAGAAAAAAAGAAAGAAAAACTCGAGGTTCAAGTATGTTAAGAAATAACAATTTAACTTTGAGTGTGTTTTTCTCCCAGCCCGTTTCCTACGAAATGTGGCACTTCTATGATTCTTAGGCAAGTTCTGTTCCTCTAAGTCAACTGGTTTAGTTTTTAGGTGTTGGCTTGGCTTCGTTCATCATTATAACTTGCTATTGGTAGGATAGGTGAAGTCAGAGGTCATGGAATCTCTGTCAGCTTCTGTGAGGCAACACTCTGGTTAGCTCTGACTCCAACTGCAACTTAACTTTAACTCAACTGGAACTAACTGCCGAACAACCACAGGACATTTGTTTATATGGATACCGACCAAAACCTGGTGTGGGCCAGATGTGGCCTGTAGTTCCCGGTAAATTTTGATTTCTAACAAGAAATCTTTTTGTTGTCAGACCAGAAAAATTGATTACTTCGCATTTTTGGAAAATTAATCATAATAAGCCATAAAAACAAATCAGTCACTATACTCACTTAATTCACATTGAGTGATTATTAAGATACTTACATGTTGATCAAGATATAAAATATTCCTGTGGTGCTTGGAAAATAAACACGAGCCAGACTTTAATACATATGAGATCTCTTTAAGACTAAATAGTGTGTGTATATATATATATATATATATATATATATATATATATATATAGTAAACATTCTCATCTCTTATCATTGCTGCTTTTCATCTTATGTATATATGCCAATATTAATGAAGTAGGAACAGCCTCGTTGATAAGCATGGGATTTGGTGATCATATACCTTGTGTAAAATTAATGCCTTTTTTTTCTTCTTATTTTTGGTATCTTTTCCTCTCCAGTAAAAAATTACGTGTAAATATCAATGTTCCCATGAAGACAGAAGAGAAAATTGAGCATGAGACTACACATAAAAACATTGAAGAAGACAGAAAACTTCTCATTCAGGTATAATATGCAATTTATTCTCATATTTAGGACTATTTCTTTGGCTTCATTTTTCTGTATCTCATTCATGCTGGATTTCAATATGAATTTTATATATTACTCATGCAACCAGATCTCTATTTAATAATGAAATATTCTGTAATGATAACATAGATGCCATGCCTTGTTAGCATCATCAGACAGGTTTGCTAATTACTTTTTGAGTTTTTCATTTCTTTTATCTTTTTACATATTTTTATTTATAAAACATGATCAGTTCTGTTAAAATTTCTGTATAACCAGAAATATTTTATTTAAAGAAAATGCTTGTTAGTTTACTAGCAGAGTAACCATTAAAAAAATATGCTGATATATCACTTATACAAATATCCATATAGGAAACACTGTGTGTGTGTGTGGGGGGGGTAATTGGATGAGAATCTGATGCAGCCATAAATGTATCAGACAATTAGGAAAACTATTTTTGACCTATTTTGCTGCTGAATTGGCATTATCAGCAAAATAATTTTATTTCAAGGAAAACTGCAGTAGTAAAATGAAATGTGATTTGTGTTAAACAAATGAATACTTGATTTGACTTCAACTGTATCAAATGTATGAAATTTGAATACTTCTGTTTATTCATAAACCTTAAAATAAATGGATATATAAAAACAAAATGGTTATATATTCATACTCCTTTCTAACCATTGAGTTGAAGTGTTATTTTTCTGGTGTTGTTTTATCTGTGAAACACGTCCAAAAAGAATACTTTTCAAATATTGTGTGTATATATATATATATATATATACATACACGCACACAGCCTGTTTCACTGTGTCACAGCTCATCAGTGTGACTAGACAGCAGATTGCTCTAAGTTGGGATCGAAACTCTACTGATTTGATATATATATATATATATATATATATATATATATATATATGGGCATATTTTAATAATTTTGAGTGTTAAAATGTTTGGGCCTTCCTTGAATTTCACTTCATTTTTCTTATAACCCCAACTTGGCATGTTAAGGTTAATATTTGGGTTGAATTTATGTAACTTCTTTTCATTTAAGTCAGACAAAATCCACTCTCCCCTCACAACCACTCGGGCAGTTTTGTGTTGTCTGTTTGATTAGCTCTGTATCAATTTTTCAACTGCTGTCTCTTTTTTTAAATATTTAATTTTAAATTGCTAGTTTGATACTGAATACAATCCACCATTTGAGTTGAATAAAGCTAACACATTAACCTTAGTTGAAATAGTCTATATGCATGTGGTAATTTAGAACCCAGTCATGACTTTCAGACAAATATATATATATATATATATATATATATATATATATATATATATATATATATATATATATATATATATATATATATATATGAGGAGGAATACAAATTTAAATTTGTCACTTAGCTGATTGATGTTATATTCATCACTCCAGCTCAGTAGCTACATTGACAAGATTTTTTTTGTAATTGGTTGGTCCACTTATCAGAAGGTTTAGCAATTTGTAAAGAATTAATAAATTTTATTTTTTAATTCTGCATATTTATATTACTTCAAACATTATTTTTAATGGGTACCCATACTTGAATACACTCCATTTTATTTCAAGCCGTATTTATTTCATTTACCAAATTGCACACTCAAAACTTATTAAAGAAAATATGCCCTTTAGTTCTATTTACCTTTAAATCACACTCACATTCAGATTTTTTACTTGATTGGGAAGCTCTTTTGTAGCACTCTTAAAGCACTCTGGATCAGACATGGTTTCTCCTCCTAGCAGAAGACACATTTTCTTTGTCTAATGTTCCGCACACTCAAGAAAACAAAGTAAGTAGTCTTTAAAATAAAGTGGCGCATCAGTTTCCTGCAGTTTTCAGTCTACTACTCAGAAGACCAAAGGAACAACAGAGCATTCACATAATGTGATCCTATGTAGAAGTGCTGATACATATTGCAAATAATTTCATTCATTTTGAGGGATACAATGCTAGTAATTATAAATTTGAATATTAGATAAGAGTAATGATTTGTTAATAAATCTGATAATGCAAAAATTTTATTTAATTTTCTCAACTGATTTTTCTCTTGAAACATATATTTAGATTATTTTTGTCATCTTGTATGCACACCTATCTAATATAAAATAATGTACATTAGGTACATATTTGAAACGGCATTAATCAAATTTAGTTTTAGCAAAACACAATTTCAAATAATAAAATATCTACCACTAGAAAAAATTGAATTTGACTAAGTGAAAATGTTTTTGTGATTGATGGGTTATTTGTGCAAATAATCATTGTCAAAGTTTGATTTCTATTAAGATTTAAAATAAGCAACACAGTTAAATTGTTGCAATGAAATATTTACTAAAAACAAGTTCAAAGCACCTTTTTCCAGTTATTAACAAAATCTTTATGAACTAAAGAGATATGTGTGATGTTTGTTACTGTTTGTAATTTTTGTAATCTTTTGTATTGTATTCTTTGTAATTACAGGCGGCCATTGTAAGAATCATGAAGATGAGGAAAGAACTGAAGCATACAAATCTCTTATCAGAAGTCTGTTTGCAGCTATCCTCTCGTTTCAAGCCCAAGATTTCTGTTATCAAGGTTTGTTTCTCAAAATTTCAGAAATGTTCATTCTAAACATGTTGAAAAAAAAATTCTGTTATCAATTCTTAGCATGACTTTTTTTTTTATTTATAATTGGATAATTACAAAACTTTAAATTTTACTTGACAAACTTTTCCTTTTACATATAGCAGGAGCCATGTAAAAGTTTACATTGAAATTTTAAAATAAATGTAATTTTTTTTCTTTAACTAGGTTAAACCTATGAAATTTAATTTGTTTTCAGTAATAAAAAGTTTATTGTATGCTGTTTGCACAAGTTACTTATCAAGAACAAGTGGTTTTGTTCTTGATTTACTTGTGTGAAGTTCATTACCATATGATAAAGATTTTTTTGCCCTAAAAATAAATCACAGGAAACTGAGTTTGGTCCATCTTATTCCTTTATAAGTCTTGAAGAAAGCAAATCCATATTTCAACAAACTCTTTCCTTAATGTACTTCATATTAATCATATAAACTCAAATATTATAGTAACAATTTCAGATCAAAATTCAATTAATAACTGTGTCAAGCTACTTATGAACATATTGATTTACATTTGGTGATGTTGTGAACTTGTAATTTAAAATTTTGGAGGATTGCAATAGCCACAAATATTTAAGAACTTTTAGGAACCCGTTTTTTCCCCCCTTTTAAATGAATTTTCCTTTTTCTTTCTTTCAGAAATGCATAGACATTCTAATTGAAAAGGAATATTTGGAAAGAGTTGATGGGCAAAAAGATGTATACAGTTACTTGGCCTAAAACCTGCTGACAGGTTCAATTAAAGATGTGTTCTTCATTAGGAGCCAAGCAAGCTAGTGTCCTCCTGTTGGTCAGTTTTTGAGACCATTGACAAAGGTTAAATGAAGATTAAAGAAAATGAAAAGCAAGAAGAAAAAGAACCTATTAAATTTTCTACTGCTGTTTATGGAAAGCAACACTGGTTATGTTGTCATATCTGAAAACAGCTGTTATTTTGTATGAATATCTGCATAGATGAGCATACATGAGACATAGTGTGTTTGTATGCTTGCATCCTTATAATCTACCTTGAAGGGTGAAACTGGCAGGACCATTTCTACATCATTTGGTTTTTCAGATTAAGAATTTTTCAACAATAAAATTGGGGAAAAAGGAGTTACAAAAACAAAACTCTGCAAACTATTAAGCACTAAGGGGTGTGGTGTTGGAGCTTGTATTTTGTGTCTTAATTGAAATCACTCTCTTCTCATCCACCTTTTTTTTTTTTTTTTCTTTTTTTTTTTTTTAATTGGACTAATCCTTCCATTTAAATGTTATTGTGTTTTTTTTGGATGGGGGGAGGAGAGAAAAAAATTTAAGTGAAACTGTGAATAGTCTTTTGTATTGATTCCATGGCACCCCTTATATCAAAGAGCAATTACTCTCTGAGGTTTTTTTTTTTTTCCCCCCCAAAGTCAGTCAATGCCAGACATTAAGAAAATATCTTCAAGGGAACATGCTTTTTCAGAAATAGTTGCTCTTTGATCTAAAATAGTTAAATAAGAATAATTTACAAATGAAAAAGGAAATATTCCAAATTTTTCTTTGAAGACTCCTTTTCTGAATTTCATCACCAAAATGAAACTACAAATAAAAAAAATCTACAAAATTTACAATGCCAACTCTTTGATAAGGACAACCAACTGAGATTTGCCAAGTGAGAGTCTATGATTCTCTATTCCATTGATGTACTGTGATGTATTTTACTTGGGTTTGGGCAGGGAACAGAATTAAGTTGAAAAACAATTCTTTCTTTAACCTCCCTTATCCTCTACATAACCAGCCCTCACCTTTTTTTTTTTAATTTATTAATAATAAAAAAAACAAAAAAAAACAAAAAACAAAAAATGACCCAACAAAAATGTTATTTTAAGTGTACCAGTTTGCATATATGATGCAGCTCCCAACAAAATGGACAAAAGAACATGTGGTGTAAATTTGCATAAGCACAATTAAGTTTGAATGTTTTATCATGGCCTTTCCCCTCCCTCCACATCTTGGATTAAGAGACCCACTTCTTAAATATTAAAAAGAAAAGAAAACGCTTCCTTGCAGACTCTGATTCCAGTCACACAGCTTCATTCACAGAAAGCTTTTTGAAAAGGTGGAAAAACTGGATGTTTTTAATAAAATAAAAAAAAAATCAGTGATAAGTACAAAGAATGCCCCAGCTTTGATAGCTTGCTGCTATGTTTTTCATTGTAAAATAATGTAAAGGAAATGGAGTGGGGGAGGGACAAGATAAAAGAAAATTGGGATGACCTAACAAAAAAACAACAAAACAAAGTACCACCGCCTTAGACTTAGACTTCTCCATCTCCAAATTTTGAATATTCAGTTTTTGTCTGCTTTTTCTTATTTATGATTTGGGGACTATTTGTAAAAAGAAAAGGGAAATCCTTTCTTTTTCCTTGTTTCATTTTTTTATCGTTTGAATTTTTTTTTATTCAAGAACTCTTTGAGGGTCAGTATGTTGTGAGAAAGGAACCTTTTTGTGTTGGGGAAATTGATTTTGAGCTGAAGTTGGATTAAAAAAAATATACATAATAAAGATTAGTTTTTTTATGCTTTAAATATTGAAAAGCAGTTGTACAATTTGATAAATTTTTCATGTTTTGCAGTAATTTTAAAATTACAAGATGCTAAGCTGAATTTCAATTATGAGATTCTAAAAGGAATGGAGTGACAGAAAAAGAAAAATTGTTTCCAAGAGCTTTCTATGTAGTGGAAGATGGTGGCCACTGCAGTTGTTTATGGAGGAGTGAATTGAGAAGGGGGTTTTGAAAGAAAAAATCCAAAAGGGATTGTTGGAGGAAGAAATCAGGTGCCTTCTCTCCTGCTTCTCCATACTTTTTATATATATATATATATATATATATATATATATATATATATATATATAATGTGTGTTTTATTGGTTTGCTTTTTTTTTTTTTTTTTTTTTTTTTTTTTCTTTTTCTCTCCCTCACACTCTCACTCATACACACACAATAGTTGAGAAAAATTAATCAACAAATGAATTAATTTGTCATTGGTGGGGGTTGCTAGATTTTCCTTTGAGTGGTGGGGATGGGTATGAAAAAAGAAAAAAAGAAACCTGTGAAGAGTAGTGCAGGGAAAAGAAAGCAAATTAAGAATAGTTTCAATCTGCATCTCTCACTGCAACAATGTTTTTTTTAAAAAAAAAAAAAAAGTTTCAAAGGTTATGGTATAATGTGAAAAAAAAAAAAAACCTCCAATGTCAAGGTTATGTGATGAAAGTGCTGTGTTTTTAGGGAATAAGCTGTTGAAAATAAATTCTTTCATTTTATTTCATATCTTGCTTTTTACTCATTTTATTTGTTTGGTTATTTCCCCACCTAGTCATCTTGGTGAATGTTTTTTTTTTTTCTTTTTCTTTCTTTCCTTTCTTCCTGGCATTCATTATTTTGAAACCAACTCTTTTTGCTATTTCTTCAGCAGCTTTCCTTATCTGATAAAATATATATATATATATATATATCATTTATCTTAAATAGTGAAAGTGATCAATCTTTCTTCTCATAATTTTTACATTTAAAAATATTTTATCTAAAGACAGATAAGTTCTTGTTGCAAAACTTTACTGTTGAAGAATTGTTCTGTTTTATGTATATTTTGCTATATGCAAAATATATGTAAAATATAAGCTTTTAGTTTTCTCATAAGTGAGACCAATTTTATCTTCTAAATTACTCAAGAAAATTCAATAAAACTTTTACAGCTGCAAAGATCTTTTGTACTTTCTGATGGCAAGCTTATGAGTAAGGCATTTTCTTTCAGCTTAAAATAACATGAATGTATTAAAGGTAGGTACTATATAGTAAGTGCATTACTTAGATACACAAATATGCCTTGATACTTTTTCTTTTTTTTTACATTGTCTACAATGCTGTCAAATAATGGATTGATTTAACATTTCAGTCATTTTTACACTTGCAATTTTCTTTGAGGTTTTTATTCTAAAATTCAGTTAGTCCTTGTTTTTACTTGATATGATTCCTGCAAAATTCCACTGGTTTTATTATTGCTAGGGATTGGAGATGTTTTACATAGATTCAACAACACTAATTTTTAGTATTAGGAGGTGGGGGTCAATTTTAAACAGGAGATGAGATAAACTATTGTTTAAAAAACAAAATAAATAAATAGTGGCAAAGAAAAATATTAGATAATGTTTATTTTTTTAATTACTCGATAGTTAAAAAAACAAAGCGTTCACTTAGATTTCATAAATTTATTTCATTTTCTCGTTAAACATACTTGGTTATCAATACCTTAGGCTGCAAATAAATCAATCAACATGTCAGAAAAGCAAGACCCCATTATGAAATGCTGGTATTTTACTTACATTTTATGCTACAAGTAATATTTGTTTCAAATCCGATTAATTCAACTAACTTTGCTAATTTCCCTCAAATAATGTGTCACAAATATATTTTCTTTTTGGAAGATTTTTAAAACCGAGACTTAACTTTTGTTTACAAATGTGTCAAAATGACCGATATTTATCCCTTTTCTGGAAATGCACCAGAATATAAAAGAAAGCTTCAAGAATACTTTTTCATTTTTTAAAATTAATTTTAAACTTTAGGTATAGAAAATTTTCTGGAAGGAATCGGAAACCAAATCCTAAGCAGGAAACAAGGGATAAACCTCTACTCCTGATCAAAAGACCGGAGAGGCGTGTGAACCGGACGTAGTAGCATTTTCGAATTTGGCCTCCTGCAAAGATAGCAGGTGCCATAACTCCAGCGTTACAGTAATTTATTTTATGTATTCATTAAACTGGAGTAGGACTTAATACCTGGCCTTGTCAGCTTTCATGATAACATCAAGGCGCCTTCATTTTAGAGTCAGTTTGATGTTGTATCTTAATACTTCTGATAAAGGTAATGTTTCCTCTCTCTCCTTATCATCGCCCAACTCGTACAGATTAGGTCTCACTTAATGTGAATTTATCACATTGATCTGTTATACCTGTTATCAATTTCAAGTTTCGACACAAATGTTACAATTTTCTGGGTATACATGACATCAAGTCTACAGAAGTATTTCCTTACCAAATAAATACGCTGTCCAGTAATTATACCCACTTAATTTTAACATCCACTGCTGAATTTTATTAATTTACTTGGCATTAAATAGATACTATAATGATTTATGACCAGTCTTGATTGCAAACTCAAACCCATCCAGTTTCTGCAATGGATATAGCATAGGCCTCTTCTATCACAGGGATACAAGCTACAGGTTCGCCCTTCTCCGGACATGCCGCAATGAACATCGCATCCGTGTATAAAACTGTTGGTTTGCTGAGACCAAGGAAATGGAAGTCAGCTGTTTCTAAACGAACACGCAATCTTCAGTCCACTTAAACCTATCAAATTTATCAGGTGTAGCAATTCTGGAAAATCCGTTTATAAACCTATATTCTATTGTATCTACTAATATGAGGCTCCAATAATTCTCACGTTATTTCCATCTTCTCAGTATTTCGTTTCATTGTTTCTCTATTTATACCTAAATCAAAATATTTGGTTTCTTCTGTCAGGATGTGACATTTCAGCAATCTTGACTTAAGCCCATGATTCCGCAATCGCTCGAATAACTTGCAAATAGCGAAATTTTTTTCACAAGATGGTGCTCAATCAGAAATTCTGTCATTCTCATCGCTTCTTGAGAATCGCTCGAATTTCAACAAATTTCATAAATTCGTTGAC